TCTCTCTCTCTCTCTCTCTCTCTCTCTCTCTCTCTCTCTCCCTCTCCCTCTCCCTCTCCCTCTCCCCCCTCTCTCCCTCCCTCCCTCTCCTTCAGTAATATGATTTAAACTCTGCTAAACAATTTACACACGGTATTTTGTATGATTTTTGCAGTGATTGCAGAATGTCAGCATTTCAGTATTTTCACCATTCTTTTCCTGCTTGATAAACCAAGGGACAAGGATCTTGGGAATTTATCCAAGATTAGTGGCATAGTGGCTATAAAATATGACATCTGTTTAGTATGAGGCCTGACTGTATTTTCCATTGTACCCTGTAATGCCAGCATAAGAAGGTTCCTAAGACTCATTGGTGTATTCCTGGTTTAGTTTACAAACACAAAACATTAATTCCTTCCAACATGATTTCTAGGACTTCCTTTTTACAATGGAAACAGCCAACCATCATTTATCCTGTGTAGAATGATTCAAAGTACAATGCATTGCTTCTGTATTTTTTATTTTGCAAATAACTGCATTATTTAAGCGACTGACCATTCTTTTTGCAAAAAAAAAAAAATTAGTGCGTTGAATTTAGGGTGATACTTAGAAATCTTCAGTGACTGTCCTGACAATATTGGAAGAAGCCCACATGTCCCTTGTTTTTGTCTTGGCTTATATGTTCTCATGCATACATTAAGAGATGGGCAATCCAACATTTTTGTGAGTTTAGATTGATCATTTTCTAGTTCTTGAGAAAAGACTACTTGGCAGAAAATATTTTTGTTCAGTTGAGGATCGAGTGGATGGTGGGGTTAAAGGGGGGGGAGATGCACGATTCCTAAATGGCTAGTGACAGACCGTTTCAGAAGCTGATACTTTATCCTTTTTTAGGAAAGAAAGCATTCAGAGTCACGTTATACAGTCAGCTGGTTTTCTCAGTCTCTCAACCCTGAAATAAACTCAACCCAGGATTTTTCGTAGAATTCTGAAGGATTTGAAGCAAAATAGAAAGTTGTCTAGAATAAATAGCCAAGATCACATGCATCTGTCTAACTCGCCTGTAATCCTAACGACACAATTTTAGAAGGCTCTTCTAAAACCCTTATCTTGAGAAATCTTTTACCATATCTGAGGCCTCATTTAAAAAAAAAAATCTTAGGTTTTTTTTTTATGGTATGAGTATTTCTCTGTTTTTCCAATTAGAAATATCAGCAGCCAAAACATCAGACGGACAACATTTATCTCAATTCTGTGATCTTGGCAGTCAGCATTTCCCAAACGTTAATGTGCTGTCAGATTGAGCATCTTCTAGAAAGACCAATTCTGGCTCAGCAGGCATTTCAAACAGGTTTCTGGGTGATGCCAATGCTGCTTGTCCTTGATACACTCAGTGAGTAGGAAGTCTCTAGCTGTGAATCCAATTCCCTTCTTGTTTTCTCTTATATATATATCCATGGGCCACTCTGTGTCACCATTCACAAATCTAACAGACTGGAAGCCATCAGGAGGTTTTGGAATGAGAAGAATAATTTCTTTTCTTTGAAATGATCTTAAGTTTATTACAGTCGGGTTTCATTGTTTCTCTGCTTTTGTGATTCAACATTTGATGTCTCTGTAAGTTGGGAAGTGAATTACAAGTAGTGAATATGGATGGTTTGCTTCTGTAGCCGAGAGTCAGGCTAAAGCTATTACAATATTGCTTTCAACAGATGAAATCAGAGTTAGATAGTCCTGAAAATTATACTGTCATAGCCCAGTTAATGATTGATGTTGAGCCTGTGTAGATATACTCTTAGTTTTCTCTGTGTTTGGAGTTGAGAACTAACTACCTCCTTCTCCGTGTTATTCTTTGTGAATTCAACATGTGGATGATTCAAAGATGAGCAACACCATGGATCAGAAAGATTTGTGTGTGAGAAAGATTCAGGGGTTTCTACATGTTAGCTACTGTGTGTTAGCAGCTGGTGCCCTTCGTTACATTTTCAGTAAAGAGAAGTTTCGTAGCAGTTTCTAAAGGAGGAGCTGAATGAGCAATTGCCGAAAGAGTCTGGAAACTGACTGCGCATTTAATACACTTTGCCTATCGAAAGGTAATCCAAAGACGTCACCTCAGTTTTTAAAATTGTTGCTACATCTATTTGTTTACTTAGCGTGCGAGGTGTGTGTGTGTTTGTGTGTGTGTGTGTGAGAGAGAGATGTCTGTCTGTCTGTCTGCCTGTCTGTATGCGTGTGAGAGAGCCACAGCACACACGTGAAGGTCAAAGGACAGCTTGCAGAAATTGGCCTCTCCTTCCACCATGTAGGTCTAAAGGAATCAAGCTCAGGTCATGAGTCAAGTAGCCTTATCCACAGAACCATCCGGACGGCCCATTTCATTTGTAATGAAATGAAACACTTTTTGAACATGTTTCTATCAAAAATTCATACAAGGAACAAAATTGGATACAGTTCTTTTTCTTCTTCACTCAGTTTATTTCAATGATTTATTTATTTATTTACTATTCTCCTGTATGAAAACTAGATGGAACAAACTGTGTTTTTGAGTTGCTGTTTAGAGAACGTGACACAAATTGTATAAAGTAACAACTCTAAAACTCAGCACGGAATGAAAGATGCAATGTCAGGTACCATCCTCGGCTTGTTTCTATTTACCTATGATGTTTAATGTGAAAAGCAGGACGTTGTCTCCATTAGGGTTTTTCCTTTCTCACTGCACACATAACCCAAAACATACTCCTTCTGCCCCTCTTTTTACATCTAATATGATTCAAAAATAGAAGGCACGGGATTGGAGCTATCAAAAAATTAAAACCGGAAGGTAATTCTTTCCAATGTCTGGCAAATCCATAGATTTTACAAAGACAAACAAACACAGTTGTTTTTGAAAGATTTCCATGTCTTATTCGTCATTGTTACATTTTTTTGTTTGCTTCAATCTTAACTTTGAGACATTTTGAAAATACTCTCAGATATTCACAGGCCACCTAGTTTTAGCAGATGCTAACTAACACTAAGCACAGATATCTACTGTGTTGCTCTTAGGTTTTTCCACTAAAGAGAAATATTTCTTAAAAATCAGATCTAAAGTCTAAGAAACTGGCAACATTGCCAATCGGTTGGGTGAATGCCCAACACTAAAATCATTTGGCATATTCCTTTCAGCTCATGGGAACTTTCCTGTGCTTTGTTCTTCTCTTTGCTGTTCAAAACTATGATGCCATCATTTCTATTTGTTTGGGGACAAACAACTTGTTTGCCTGGATCAGAATCCGAAAGACAAATTTTGTGTTGCTTTATGTTGATATTTATTATTTGAGATTTATTATCGCTTCTTTGGCTTCTTTCTACTTAAAGTATCATGATACATAATTTTGGATAAGCAATTAGTTAATCTTATCTATAATATTATTTTAGACGTCTGTCTAAAACCTTTTTTAAAAGTCCCACAAATGAAGTGTTTGTATATACTCATCTACAGGGTATTTTATTGGATTTTGACAGTCTTTCCTGGTGGGATTCATATAAAAGGACCCCCCCACACACACTTCACCAAAAGAACTGTGTTAAGTGGCCACCTACGTTTGATGATATCGTGATTCAATAAATAAATTTAGAATAATACTTTTGCACTTCAAAGGACACTTTCGGGTTTTCTAGAAATAGATTTACCTACATCCCGCCCCCCTCAGTGCTTAGCTCTTTTGGGGTTCACATTTTAAAGCATGCTCTTCACAGTTTGAAAGTATTTGATTTTCCTCTGCACAATGACTATAAACGTGAAAGTTTATTCTTTTTCAAAACATTTCAGGATGATTTTAACAGTGACAATGTGCTTAATTGTTGATTCTTATGTCTTGATCAAGGTAGCTGAGACATCTTAAGGATTTTCAGTTCTTCAAAATAAGGTCGTGATTCAGAGCCATCTTGAGTGTAATAGTTCCTACTATTGTGTACTGAGCACTATTAAGCTGTCTTCCCGACACATAGCTAGGAGAGAGCCAAAACATTTTATGCACCTGCTTTCTAAGGAAAAATTAAACTTCAGTCTTAGACATAAGCTTGGGCTCATATATATGCTTAGGTTAGTGAAATTTGTGTAATAAGCCAACCCTACTTGACTTGCCTTTTTTAGCTGGTTCAGTAATGAGTACCATTTCATTAGCGAACATTTGGTGATTAATTTTCACCTGGGTTGAATAAATAATTTTTACACTAAGATGTTATCACATAATTAATAAAATATCACCATGAATCTTGCTCGTCTCCTTTCTGCAACCCACCTGTATAATTTGGGGGGGGGGGGTAATGGAGCCTTTGCTAAAATGTAAATTGCATTTACTTGAACAAACACAATTCTACCCTCTTACATCAGGGTAAGAGACCTCATGCTCTGCTTTCAGAGACCAGAGACAAAAACTTGTTACTGTGTATATAATTCTGTATTTATTTGAAAATTTCCAAGATGGGCAACTTAGCCTCTACCTTCAGGTACCTGAAATTTAGTTGTAAAGGATTAGGGAAACATACATCTCTGCTTGTATGCTATAGTATTAGAAATGGCATTCTTGGAGGCATTGGCAGTGCAAAAGGAACATTCATCCAAAGAGAAGGCCAGTAGAGAGATTTAGAGCGAGCGTGGGTGGGTACCTGGGAAAAAACCATCCCGGAAGGCCTCCAGGCTGCCAGGCTCCGAATATTAGGGATGGGAGAATGCCCCTCTGGCCAGAAGGCCATTTAGACATCCCCCACCGCGGGGTGCGGGGGCGCCACCCGACAGGGTTTCGGAGGAACCCTGCCAGCATAGCCTTCAGCACGTCCCGGGCGCTCTGGCTCACGCAGGTGACCGCGCAGTGGCTGAACAAGGGCGGTGGCCATCACGTCCCTCTCCGTGCTGTGGCGCTCGGGAGCTGCGCGGTGTGCAGCTCCTGCTGGCCCGGCGGGGGCGCGGCCCGGTCCCTCTCGGGGCGGGGCCGAGGCGGGGCGTCGGGCCGCGCGGCAGGTGTGGGCGCGCGGAGGTGGCACAGCCCGCTGCGTCTTCGATCTGCGCACAACGCGGGACGAAGACGCGCGCGCGGGGGCCCGGGGAGGCCGTAGGTAAGCGGGCCTGGGCATGGGCACGCGGCGAGCACCCGGGTCACGAGGCGGCCCCGCAGGGCGCGCGGGGGAGCGGAGCGCGGTCCCGCACAGCCGTCCGCGCTCGGCCACACACCCGGGCCGCGCGCGATCCTCCAGCGCGCAGGGAACCGGAGCGCGGTGGTCACTAGCGCTCTCCGCTGGGGAGTCCCCGCGCGGCCCACGCGCCACTTCCAATTCCGGTGCTCGGAAACTTCCCGGGCTGCTCCGGGAGAGTGAGTAGAAACCAGGCGCGCGAGGAAAACCCACACCAGGACGAGTCGTTTGCTTTCAGAGCCTACAGTAGGGAAAGGATGTTCCTAAGCCCCTACCCTGCTCTCGGTGACCCCATCTGCAAAGCCCCCAGCTTCTCTAAGGAGTCAGGTGTTGCAGGGTTCCCTTCGGCAGACTGTGGTGGTGCAGAAGGCAGCGGAACAGGCGCAAGTGGCTACCTAAGAAGCTTCTCAGGGGACAGCTTTGTCCCTGTCCTGAAGCCAATAGGGCTAGGAATGAGGGCTCAGAACCTACACCTAGTGTTGGAGCAAGTGTCTGTGGCTCAAGCCAGACACCCTCCTGCCTGGGGACGTCTTTTGGTATCCGAATCTGGCCTTTCAGCTTCCTCACAGAAATCTTGGCACCTTTGAAGTGGAATTAGAGAGGAAAAAAAAATGCAAGATTTTTGTGCGGAGTTTATAACCTGTGGATTAAAATGCTTAGTAGACAAAAGTTTCGACTAGGCTCAGATTTACAATTTGTTTTGAGGGAGTTTTGATTGACTTAATTTTTGTTTTAAATGACTTAAAAGTGACGCTCAACTTTAGGTTTAAAGAGTTTGTGTTCGGCTGGAGTGGGCGCTAACTTTCCAAGTTGTTTCCCGCTCTTATTCTCGTTATTTTTTTCAGTGTCTCCAGAGGCAATTCCTTAGACAAGGCCTTTATCTCGATTTTTTTTATCATCAAAAAGGGTAAAAATAATAATGTTTAGTCGTCTCCCACTAAAGAAGTTGGCCCCCTTTTTCCTTTGTAATTTGTACAAAGCCTCTTGAAACCTATGTTCGACCCCAAACAAGAATTTTTGCTTTGTGTCTTTCTAATAGATATTTTGTGGGGATGGGCCTTATGGAAGTTTTTCTTTTCTTTACATCTTATTAGGTCTTTATTTTATATGTAGCTATTGGTTTCATGGTAGATATGAGAGAAAGCAAGAAAGTTGTAAAGTATCTAGTTATCCTCTGGTGACGTGTTCTAAGCTCTGACGCGTATGTACTAGTGACAAGATACTTGACCGACAGCACAGAGTCGGCGTGTACTCAGATTTTATATACGTTGTTATAAGAAGAAAGCTATGCAATGTTTAATATTTGAACATCTTTATAAAAATGGAAGTGGAAAAAAGTGGAAAGCCAAAATAACTTTTCCGTGTTATCTTTTTTTTTTTCCTCTCAGTTTGAAATCAGATTTAGTTCAGCCCAGAATTGAAGCTGCAGTTAAAGACAGTTGTTAACTATTTAGGGTAATTTCACAACACAGTCGATTTGCTTTAGTGAGTCTTTTCATCAGCGCTAGGTTTTTGTGGGATGTATTTGCTGGGGATATTGACATCCTGAGGTTAGATACCATTACACTTCCCACGGTTGCCACAGTTCCTCTTCATTGCTTATGTCTAAGTAGTTTTAGCATCTGGCCATTGCAGGGGCTCTTACATTCAAACTGTAAAAAGGCTACAAAGTAGTCACTGGTTATTCATATTTTAGGATAAAGTATAGTATTAAAAGACAATATGGAATCTTTAACATCCTCTTGAGGTATTTCATGACTACAAGTGCTGCTTAAAAGTCACCCCCAGAGATTTCAAAAGTTTTAATGAGGGAGAAATTTTGTTACAACATAGTTCTCTATCTTAGAAAAACAACAACAACAACAAAACCCTTTTGTTGAATGAGAGTAGATCCAGCTTAAGTAAGAAATGGTGAGATTTGATCTTTGAATTGTGAGCTACATTCTCACTGGGGGCTTTTAAACAATGTCAGCAAATGTGTAGAAGGCTCAGCTGTTTAACTTTTACATGTAAGCACCCTAACATGCTTGCTTCGTTTGCAGATTCTCTGGCTGTTTTTCGTCCCTTGTTTTTGCTATAAGGGAGACCCTAGGAAGTTAACAACAACAAAAAAAAAAAAAAAATAAGGAGGAGGTTTGAGATGAGGGGAAAAAAATCTAAGCATGGCTATAGGGAAAATATGTGTTGGCTTCAGTAACAAGGAGGTTAAAAGTGGAGTTTAAAGTCAAGATTTACTTGTGGAGTCTGTAGTATTTTCTACTTTATTGGATAATCAACATTTTAGCCAATATATAGTTATTGAATGTATGACATCAGATCCAGTGTGTGTGGGGGGACCTCATCCAAAATCTCTGAAATGTTGATGGTGGCTTCATCAGATATGCTCTGTTCCTAGCTGCTGAGCACGTGAAGGCAAGTTACACATTACACAGAAGTAACCAAGTGACTTCCATTTTAAAGAAAAACTCCTTCGAGACACCATTATTTCAATATCACAAATAGCACCACTCTTTTGAGCAAAACAGTAGCTCTAGTAATTTAAAAATATACTTTTAGCAGGGGAAATACAGTTAGTGTTGCGTCTCAGTGTTCTTACTTTGAGTATTTTTGGCCCACTCTACATCTTTGTATTTGTGCCATCTCTGACAGATCAGCCCCGTGCTAGAGAGTACAGGGAAAATTACTAAGACGAGCAATGTGTGTTGATCCTCTTTCTTCCCTAAGCTGCATCTGCACGCAGTCAGGACCACGAGAAGTCTTAGAATTTAACCCATGGCCCTCTGCTGATTCTGGGAGCAGACAGTAGCGACAGAAGTCCGCTCTGCCATTTGCAAATGGGCTTCATGTTCTATAGCAAATCAAGCCCATGGACTCCCTAGCTCTGTCCAACTCAGCTTCACTTCCTTGCCCTGGGCGTAACAACTGGAGTTTAAAGACTTAGACCCGAATGGAAAATGAGTGCCATTGTGGCATTGTGTATGTATGCCTTCAAACTAACTGGGAAAAAATTAAGACATAGTATGATTTAATTATAAGTCCTCCAGGGTGGGTAGTGTGTAGGAGTCTGTGGCTCAAGAATACATTTTATTTTTTCACTTATTTTGAATTGTTTTTAGTTTGCATTATAGTTCGTGTGTGTGTTTGTGTGTGAGTGTGTGTGTGTGAGTGTGTGTGTGTGTGATTTTGCTTCATATCCTACAGTTCGGAAAATGAAGTAGTACATTATAGTTTTTAGATGGGCATAAATTTTCTTCTGGGAGGTGATGCTATGATGGATTGTCTCCATTATGTTTTAAGTTGATATTCTTAGGAAGTAATCCTGCTTCTGAAACAGGATGGCAGCAAAAGGGGGAATCCCTAATCTAGCCTGTCTGTTGATATCTTTAATCTTCTCTGTCAATTTCAGATAGACTTGGGCCGTGTCAGTAAGTTGAATGTATGCTGAATAACTTAGAGAGTTCAGCCCTGAAAACCGTGGGCTGAGTGTATGTGTGTGTGCTTGTGTTTCAGATTTAAATGTGACGTAGAATATTAAGACCAATATTGTTATGCATCTAAGTTGAAAACTGTTTAGAATCTAGGGTTTTAGTACAGGCACGGGACTGATATCCCAGAAGTCAAGCTAATGAGATCCACTCCCTAACAAAGCCCGAGATAGTTAAATTATAGTGCACACTTCCTCTCAGAAATTGACTATTGACTCACCTGTGGATTTTGTAACTTTTTTTTGGCTTAAGCCCGGACATTTAGTGATTATCTCAACTCCATTAACTTCATTTTCTGTGAGTCTTAAGTAAGCACAGTAAACTTGCTCTGCACCACAAAATGCTGGGTCCAATCCCCAGCAATGAAATAAAACAAAACCAGATTAAAAATAAGAGCCAGTAGCAGTGGGTGGATGGAAGTCTGAGCTCTTCTGCCCTGCACGGTGAGTGGAGCCTTTTAAACCAGGATTCCTGTCGCTTTAGACCAGAGCTTTCACATTCCTGCTGGTCATTCTGTAGCCTGGTGTTTCCTGGACTGTTCTGTGCTGTAACTCAAAATGGTTTTCCTTTCTTTATGGGTAGACTGTGGAACTCAACTAAACTTAAAAAAGAAAAAGAAGTCAACCCTAATTTTCAGCCTGACAGATAATTCAAAAACAGCGCTCTGTACTTAGCCCCCAGTGACTCGTCAAAGCCACTAGCTCTGCTGTTATTGTTTGCCTTTGAAGTTGGGATTAGGGTGATGTTTGAGGTGCAACGTATGCATGCAAAGAAAAATATATTCCAAAGTAAAATTATCCCCAGATTGGAGTATGATGGCAGTTTCTAATTGCTTCTAATAATTAAGTAGTTAAAATTTTATAACATTTTAACTTCTGGAGACAAATTTCCAGTTTTATGTAAAAGGAAAATTTCACTTACATCCTCTGATCTTATTAGATATTAAGTCAAATTATCCCAAAGATGTTTTCTTCCAGTGGATTTATCATTTCCAACTGGCAGTAACTGAAAATATTTTGATAAAATTAGAGAACTACACAAAAATAAAATGAGAGAAATGTAAAATAAAGACCAAATGGACGAATTTTTAAAGCACTGAATCTTTCATGTGATTTTCCTGTTTGTGTGTTTTCATGTTCTGGAGAGTTAGCCATACCTCTGGAGTAGTGCTCAGGATGAGTTCAAGAGACCCACTTCCCTTTAAAAATCAATGGATTTGGTAATTGCTCAAAGCAGGTGTCCAGAATTTCCTTTATCAACTAACACATGATCAAAACAATAAATAAAAATGGAAAAGCAAGTCTCAGCGAAGAAACAAATTTAAAAACCAGTCAAAACGAAGAATTCATTTTACCAAACATAAGTATTGGTAGTTATTTTTTTTTTTGCAAAATTGTCTAAATTAAAAATGGAAAAAAAAACCTGCGTATTTATAAAGAA